GTGAAATATTTATCTCTCTACGGTGGTATGTGAAATTTGTCTTGCAGAGCCGGACACGATCCTTGTGTTCGGAATTTATCTTGAAGTATTCGGAGATGGAACCCGCCTTGCAATGCCAAAGACAATCTGTGCGCCGGACTCATCGTCATTGAAGCCTGGTTCAGGGGCTATTGGGGGAGTCCTGGATAAGGGGGTATCCGGACAGCCGGACTATATACTTTGGCCGGACTGTTGGACTATGAAGATACAAGATTGAAGACCTCGTCCCGTGGCCGGATGGGACTCTCCTTTGCGTGGAAGGTAAGCTTGGCGATTCGGATATTAGATCTCCTTCTCTGTAACTGACTCTGTGTAACCCTAGCCCCCTCCGGTGTCTATATAAACCGGAGGGTTTAGTCCGTAGGAAAAGGACAATCATACCATAGGCTAGCTTCAATGGTTTAGTCTCTATGATCTCGTGGTAGATCAACTCTTGTAATACTCATATCATCAAGATCAGTCAAGCAGGAAGTAGGGTATTACCACCATCGAGAGGGCCCGAACCTGAGTAAACATTGTGTCCCCTGCCTCCTGTTACCATTCACCTTAGGCACACAGTTCGGGACCCCCTACCCGAGATCTGCCGGTTTTGACATTGACAATAAGCCCTAATGGCTTTTCAGGGCTTTTTACCAGATGGGCTAGGCTTGGGCTTGAAAAGTAGGCCCGATGGTAGGGCCTGGGAGGGCATGTGCCTCAGTTTTTTGCTGTGAGCTTTTTTAGGCCCGGCCCAAGCCCAGCCCGGCCCGGCCCATGGCCAGATATAAAAGGGGCCGATAATTGGTCGGGCATGTCGCAACATGCAAACGGTGTCAGAATTCATTCAGACCTGGTATAGATGCCTCATATGTTCGTGCCAGGATGCTGCAAGAAGTTGGGGTCATTTATACTAGTTGGGAGGAGTGTGTGATACTAGGCCATACGGGTGCATCCGTGACCGTGAGCATATAAATTTTCCAAATTTGAATTCTTCTGTTATTTGCAATGTCCATCATTATCAATAAACATGAACATTTTCTTATGTCCTAACTATTTCTTAAAAAAATTCAACATTTTTTGAATTTCAAATTGTGTATGAAAATTTAACAAACTCAAACACTTTTTTCCAAAATTGTTAACAAATGCCCAACAATTGATAAAACTTTTGAACACAAATTGCAAAGAACACACATTTTTTAAAATTTTAGGAACTTTTTTTTGAAACACAAACATTTTGTTAAATTTGTAAACAACCAATTTGAAGAAGGGAACATTTTCTGAAATTCCAGATCACCTTTTAGAATTGTAGAAAATATTTGAAAACAACAAAAAAATTGGTATTCCAAACTATTCTTCAAAACTTTTGAACAGGTTTCAACAAAAATAATAAAGTTTTAAATAAATAAAAATGATTAAACGATAGAAAGGAAAAAACGAAAAAAACACACACGAAACACATAGGCTCTGGCCCAACTAGGTGGCAGCAACGCTCCCGTCGGGCGCCTGTTTTGAAAATTTTCAAGTGATGTTATTGTTTTGAAAATTTTCCTTAGAAATTAAAGAAAAAGTCTAGAATTTCAAATTTTGTTAGCTTCTTTCTCAAAAATGTTCGAAGTACAGTAAAAATAGACTTTCAAAAATTATTTGCTTCTGATAATAAATTGTACGGAAATTCATAAAAGTTTAGAACTCCAAATTTCAAAAAATACATTTTTTAACATTTCTTTACAAATTCAAAAAATGTTCTGGTTTTGCAAAATTTGTTCATAAATTCGAAATAATGTTCACAGAATTTCATAAAATGTTCATGTTTCTAAAACATTGCTCGTAATTCCAAAAAGGTTCACCTTTTCAGTTTTGTTCCTGTTTTTCAAAAAAAAAAATGGTCGTAATGTTGAAAAATGTTCACGTTTTAAATTCCGTTCCTGTTTTTCCTAAAAAGATTTGCGATTCCCTAAAAATGTTTGCATAATCAGAATTTTTTGAAGTGTTTGGAATTTTGAAAAGAATTCATATATCTTTATTTTTACCTAATATTAAAGGACGGAGCCTTTTATTGTTCTCCATACGCCACGCCTTTATATCCGTTCATTTATGTTAATCATAAAGATTGACGGTTGAGATTTGTAAAATAATCTATATACATATACCTACTACTCCCTCCGTTCCTAAATACTTGTCTTTCTAGGCATTTCAATAAGTGACTACATACGGAGCAAAATGAGTGAATCTACACTCTAAAATATGTCTACATACATCCGTATGTAGTAGTCATTTGAAATGTCTAGAAAGACAAATATTTAGGAACGAAGGGAGTATAAAGCAAAAACCGACGGAATAAACCATTTATGATAAAAACTCATGCACGTGGGACTTCTAAACTTCTAGGGATCTACTTTTTTAGTACACGTTAGCGGGATCTCTAATCGCCTACCTTACATTGACGTGGTGCAGTACCTCAGGGGAGGTTTCTAGCTCTCGGACTCTGCCACGCCGGCACGATCATCTACACGGTGATTTCTAATCCCTAGTTTGACCTCGCCCTTATGTCATGCAGTACCTTGGCGCAGGTTTCTCAAAAAAAAAAGATGAAACTCATGGGCACTAGCACCCATGGTTTATTGATATAGGAGAAGCATCCCTTGTGAGAAACCAGAAATTCGTCTCCGACGTGGCTCGAAGCCTGGTTGCTGAAGACGCCACTGCGCTTCCTTGCCACTAGGCTACAGCCTAGTTCTCCTTGGCGCAGGTTTCTCGCTCTTTGCCTCGCTGCCCCGACACCGGTCGCCTACTCGGTGATTATCGACAGCGACGAGATCTCCATGGAGATGAGCTTCTCGGTCGGCGCGGCGGCAACGCGGTAGTTGGTGACCAGTGAAGTTCCGGACTGTGAGGACGTGGGCATAGCCCAGTGGTTGGGGGCGCATGATTGTAAACCTAACGACCAGAGTTCGATCCACGTCGGGGACGAATTTCTGGAATTCTCATGAGGGATGCTTCTTCTATATCAATAAAACCGTGGGTGCTAGTGCCCATGGAGTTTCATTTTTTGAGGACGTGGGCATAGCCCAGTGGTTGGGGGCGCATGATTGTAAACCTAACGACCAGAGTTCGATCCACGTCGGGGACGAATTTCTGGAATTCTCATGAGGGATGCTTCTTCTATATCAATAAAACCGTGGGTGCTAGTGCCCATGGAGTTTCATTTTTTTTTGAAGTTCCGGACTGTTTTTCTCCCTGTGTGCATATCTGGAACGGAGGAGAGGAGAGGGAGCCAGCCAACCGCCAAGTTTGCTTCTCTAACGCCGTGAAAAGCGAAACCTATGGCTACACGAAGGTGCTAATGGCTGGTCGTGCTCCTCTTCATCTTGTGCCTTCTCGAGGAAACAACGGGCCCTGTTGTTGCCGACCGAACGTGAGGAAGAGAGGCAAGGCTCGAACGAGATGAACGCGAGAGGGAGAGTGAGGTTTTCCTGCTGCTCAAACTTCGCTTAACATGCACACGTGCTGCCGTTAATTTTGGATTTGTGCAATACACTACGTATGTACCGCTCGTTTTTTGAAGTTGAGATATTATTGCTGGTTTGATTCCCTTGACAGTGCTCTGCTATCTGTGGATATACCAGCATAACATTCAAGTACAAATATAGTCCAAAGCTGTGGAATTATCCTATATACCAAAATAGTTCATCTCTACTAGAGGGGGACATTTTGGAGACCGGGCTCCATGGACGCCTTTCTTTAAAAAAAATCAAAATTCGAAATTTTCAGTTTTAAAAATTTCTAAAAAGACCGGGCTCCATGTGTATTTATTTAGAATTTTTTGAAACTGAAAAGTTTGAATTTTGAAGTTTCCAAATTAAGGCCTCCATTTGACATTTTCGATCTCCACTACTTCATCAAAAATGCACACGTGCTACTTCATCAAAGGCCCACCACAACATGCATGAGAAAAATGTTTTCAATATTAATTGATCTCATGCACACATCTCATCTCACCACATATATCACCTCATCAAAGGTCCACTCAACATGCATGGAAAAAAGTGGTCTCATTGTGTTGCTTATATTCAAATATTTTTTTGACTTCACAATAATAAAATATAAAATATAATATAGTTTTGTTTTGATTCATATATTATCTATTCAACTATGCATGTTTAATACAATCAAATCACTGAAATATATAGCAGTCGATTCCCGCAGCAACGCGTGGGGTATTCTTGTTATCTCCGCATGTGTGCTTCGACACCATCAAAATTGTTGTAGCCGTTAGATTTGCTAGCTTGATCCATTAGCATCCATCTGATGCGTGCATGAGAATCCTCTACCTTGCAAGATGCATTAGTGCATTCTCAGTGGGCTTTATATCATATTATTTTCGCAGCAGCATGCATAAGAAAAAGTTTCACCACAACATACAACCATGCATAGGAAAAAAAAGATCTCAACATGCAAGCATGCTTGAGAATTTTCATTTTATTATGGTAGGTATTTACAACTTACAATAATCAAACACAATAAATCATATGTATTTCAGTTTTAATTCTCATATTGCTACTTGAAATATCCATGTCCCTTACAATCAAATCGCATTTAAGTGTATTACAAAACATTTTTCGCACAGCGTGCGGGCTGTCATCAACTTAGTGAACATGCTCTGGACTTGGGAGTTTGTGATTAGTTAAGAGTGACGAAGTTGTACGTAGATGATGCAAAAGGCGAACACATTGAAAAAAGAAGTATTTATTACATTGATGATACATCATACATGTAGCACATCAAGGAAACGAAAAATACTAGAACATGAACTGAAAAGAAATACAGACGGGGATAGATGATACAGACGCCCATTAAGGAAGGAACATGGACATGAGCGAAACGCCGGTGTTGGCCTTCCGGGCGATGTTAAGCTAGAGCCTAGAAGTGTAAAGTCACGAGGTGAGCTTCATCTTGTAAGCCAGCACATGAACTAGAGGTGATCATGGGTGAGCAGGGATCCCGGGAAGGGCAGGAAGCGCCACCAGCGGGCCGTTAGTGGTGCTGGTACCGGTAACGGTTCCCACAGGCGGCAGGTCAGGCAACCCCAAAATCTTCTCCTCGCCGACGCCACCACCGGCGGCCCCGGCACCGCGTGCCGTTGCGAGTGCCTGGTCCTTCTGGTTTAGCTCCCTCCCGTCGCAGTACGCGAGCACCAGCAGCAGCAGGAGGGCGACGGCGAGGCACTTTGCCATATTGCTAGCTGGGAGGCTCCGCTAGCACTTATGAGGAGATTGTCTAGCTTGTGCGGCTTTGTGATAGTGTTGGGTGGCTGTGCCTGTGTTTGAGTGAGCTTGGGCTTAGCATCGTCTACGCTGCTTCTTATAGGCACGCTGCACGGGTTGGCGAGGGTGGCCGCGCGTCGTTGGCGCAGGAGATTAGGATAGAATGGGTAGAGGTGCGAGGGAGAGAGAGGAATGTATGGGTATGGCGGAAATGCATGTGCACGTCGATCGGTGTTGGAATGGGGCGGATGGATCTATATTGTCCGTGAATCCGTGCCGACTGGTTCCCATCGCCGTCGAGAAGGCCAGCTGGTCAAGGCGCCGCTGTCGAATTAGAATTAGAGCCCATTATTGGTTTCGTTTCATCAGCAGATCTTTTCCCAATCAGCAGATCCTTCCTCAACTAGTCACCCCCCTGAATTTATGAATGTAGCAAAGTTTGGAGTCAAGATTGGTTTCGTTTCTTCAGGTAGATCTTTTCCCGATCAGGGCCGGGGGCTCCTGGAACTGTACCTGATCCTAGATGGGGCGCTGCGGGCCTTGCTGGTTTTTCCTGCAAATTTGCGGCGCTGGTATAGGATCTTTGTGACCTGCAAGTGGAACGTTGCTGCCTTGTTGTAGATAAGCTTTGACTGACAGGTACGCTTCGTTCCCGTCTTTAGCCATCTCTGACAGGTACTCTCGAATGCCGCTGCATTCCATTTAAGATAACTGCACAGCTGCTGATAAGTGCGGTGCGATCCACAGCCAAGGCAACGTAATTAATATTTACGCCAAAAGGGTATTTCAAACATATCCCCAATAAATAATGCAGTATCCGGTGAAGTAAAACCTTAGTGAAGAATTTTCTCCGCTAAGTTTTAGCCAGACCTAGCCAATCCCCTGTATATAAGGAAGTAAAACTTACTTTTGACTCATGCATTTCGTCGGACACCTGCTATGCGCCCCCGTGACGCTGTCCTGTTGGTTGGGGTGTTCGACGGGAGGGCATCAACAGCGTCAAGGACCTCGCCGCGTCGCTGCCCAAGTCCTCGGCGCACCAGCAGCATTAAGGATACTCCTAAATCAATTGATGTCATGTTTGTATTCAGGTATCCGTTTGCATTGTTCAACGAACTCTACTATTTGATAGCTGGAGGCACCATATGGACAGCTGACACGTAGCTGACAACAAACAAATCACTGTGTCTCAGGGATGGCGAGGAGAACGTGGGGCAGTTCTTGTACCTTGAGGCGATGGAGTACCACATGTGGAATACCTACGACGTGCACTTCCACGCCTCCTTCGCGTGCTCTCCCTCTTCCGGGAGCTCGAGCTCAGCGTCCCGTCGCGGTGGAAGGACCTCAACCCGAAGTTCGTACTGCAGGTCTACCGGGGCGTCGTCGCCACGGCAATGTCGCCTTCGCCAGGGCGGCGAGGCCGGCGGTGTACCTGGCCATGGCCTACATGGACCAGTTCAAACGTGACGGAGGCCGCGACCGAGCTCGTCCATGGTGTGTAAGATTGTTTGGGAAGCGTAGAACCCTTTGCCCGGGCTGCACTTGTATTTATGTCAATAATGCCGTGGCTTACAAGATGATCGATCCAAGAGATCGTTTACAGAAGGTCGGTACAAAATGGGAAGAAGTTGGAAGGAAGAAGGGATAGAGAAAGACTACAAGTTTAAACATGAGGAAAGTAGAGTCCTATCTCTATTCAACTATTCCAACACTCTCCCTCAATCTAAACCTAAGTGATTGCAAGGTTGAGATTGTACCTGAACTCATCCAGCCTTCTCATGGTAAGAGGTTTTGTAAAGCTATCAGCCAGTTGATCTCCAGTGGGTATGAACCTTATGTCAAGTAACTTGTGAGCTACTCTTTCTCTGACGAAGTGGAAATCAACCTCAATATGCTTAGTACGTGCATGAAAAACAGGATTAGCTGAAAGATAGGTGGCACCAATATTATCACACCACAGTCTTGCAGCTTGAGGAGTTTTCACTCCAAGCTCATAAAGCAAAGTCTGAATCCACATGACTTCAGCTGTGGCGTTTGCTAGAGCCTTATACTCAGCCTCAGTACTTGATCTTGAGATTGTAGCATGTTTCCTTGCACTCCATGACACAAGATTTGTCCTCAGGAACACAGCAAAACCACCTGTGGATCTCCTGTCATCAGCACACCCTACCCAATCTGCATCTGAGTAGGCAGTCACAAGCATAGATGGTGACTTGACAATTTTAAGTCCAAGTCCTTCTGAGAATTGTAGATACCTCACAATTCTTTTAACTCCTGCCCAATGAGTTGTAGTAGGTGCATGCAAATACTGATAAACTTTGTTCACAGAGTAAGAAATATCTAGACGTGTGAGAGTTAAATATTGTAAAGCACCTACAATACTTCTATAGTTTGTTGCATCTTCTGGTCCAAATGCTTCTCCACTTTCAATAATAAGTTTTTTTAAGTTGAGATTGGTGTACTTACAGGTTTGCAGTTCTCCAATCCTACTCTCTTGAGTATGTCATGTGCATATTTCTCATGTGAAAGAATTATACCATCTTTTGTCTGTTTGACCTCGATACCAAGAAAATAATGAAGATCTCCCAAATCTTTAAGAGCAAAGTCCATCTTTAAATCCTTGAGCAAACAAGTGGTGGCATCTAGACTTGAACTAGCAATAATAATATCATCAACATATACTAGAATATATATAGTGACACTACTTTTTTTATAGAAGAACAATGAGGTATCTGCCTTGGATGGTGTAAACCCAAGTTTCTGTAACTGTGTGCTCAACCTTGAGTACCAAGCTCTTGGGGCCTGTTTCAAACCATACAATGTTTTGTCTAGCTTACAAACATGATGAGGTGTGCTTATATTCTCAAAACCGGGTGGTTGCCGCATAAAAACCTCTTCTTCCAGAACACCATGAAGAAACGCGTTCTGAACATCTAGCTGCCTTAAACTCCAACCTCTGGAAATAGCAATAGATAGCACAAGTCGAATAGTAGCTGCTTTAACAACAGGACTAAAAGTATCTGTCTATGCTTGAAGTCAATACCAAATCTCTGCTTGAAACCTTTCGCAACTAATCTTGCCTTATACCTGTCTATGCTTCCATCAGATTTTCTTTTAATTTTGTACACCCACTTAAAATCAATGACATTCTTGCCTTTTTCTGGTGGTACTAAACACCATGTTTTATTTTTCATGAGGGCACTATATTCTATATCCATAGCTTCCTTCCATTCTTTGCTAGCAAGTGCATCATGCAAATGAGTTGATTCACCCATACTGGTAAGGAAAGCACGTTTAATTCTATCATACCTTATAGTACCATCCATGTATTCTTTCTCCTTGACAATACCAGACTAAGATCTTGTATGGCGGTGAGGAAGCTCAGGCGCACGCGCTTTTGGTACAGAAGACCGTGGTATTGCTAAATCAGCAGCAGAATTCCCTTCCACAGAAGATCCTACTGGATCTAGATCCACTGCACCGGATCGCTCTAGATCCGAGACGGCCAGGGAATCAGGAATCTCCCTTGTAACCCCAGCGCCAGCAGGAGTACGCCACGTGGCGCCTTCGGTGTCCGCACGCTCGGTCGGGCGGGGCGAGGCATTGATGCTGGGCCCCGCGTCTGTCGCTCGGTCAGCCGTTTGCCTTTCCAACGCGCGCGTGGCGCTCGGTGACTCGCGCTGGCTGGGCTGGAGAGGCCCAGACTGCCGGCGCTGTCGGCCACCAGACGGCCTGGCACTCGCCGCGCACCGAGGTCCTCCTGGGATCCCGCACCAAGATGTCCCTCGGATCGCACGCTACTGCTGCTTGCTGAATCAACCTGGGATTCTGTGACAGGTTTGGCTGCTTCTCCTTGCATAAAATCACAACCTGAAGCTGCACACTTATCATCAAAAATTAAACTTTCTTTGGTACGAGTCATATGATCAGCACTATTTAACTCGCCCCCGTGATCTGGACTAGGGATATAATCAGGAAGAAAAGCAATTTCTGCATGAAGTAGAGCTCCGGCATTTGGATGAAGCTTTGCAAAGGGAAATATTGTTTCATCAAATATAACATCACGAGAAATATAAATGCGTCCAGTGGAGATCTCAAGACACTTGTACCCCTTGTGAAGATTACTATAACCAAGGAAGACACATTGAGTGGAGCGAAACTCGAGTTTGTGTCGATTATATGGACGAAGGTTGGGATAACAAGCACATCCAAAAATTCTTAGGGAATTATAGTCTGGTTTTTGATGAAACAAGTTTTCCAAGGGAGTAATGTTTCCAATAACTTTGCTAGGAAGACGATTGATAAGATAAGTGGCAGCAATAAAAGCTTCATCCCAATATTTTAGAGGTATTGATGCATGAGCTAGAAGGGATAATCCTACTTCAATGATATGACGGTGCTTACATTCAGCGGAGCCATTCTGTTGATGAGCATGAGGGCAAGAGACATGATGGGCAATGCCGATGTCATGAAAGAAGGAGTTGAGTTTCTCATACTCACCTTCCTAGTTACTTTGAACCCCAATAATTTTTCTGTCAAAGTGACGTTCAACAAGTTTCTGAAATTCTTGAAAGTTGGAGAGAACTTCAGATTTAAACTTAAGCAAATATATCCAAGTGAACTTGCTAAAATCATCGATCAAGCTAACATAATATTTTTTTTCTTCCAAAAGAATCTCTTGCACGACCACAAACATCACTAAAAATAAGTTCCACGGAGCATGAGACACACTATTTGACCTAGGATAAGGGAGTTGGTGACTCTTTGCACATTGACAAGCATCACAAACAGACTCAATACTTTGACTAGATGACAATGGAAGATTGCCTTTATTCACTACTTGCTTAACTATGATCGAAGAAGGATGTCCTAATATTTGATGCCATCTTGCCAAGGAAGGCTTGACGACAGAGTAAACTTGATGACGACGCTTTCGACTAAGTGCTTCGGATGTGATGGGATACAAGCCT